GCATGTCAATAGAATAAATTTCCGAATCAAATACAGATAATATGAAGCGTAGTTATATGTCAAGGATTTATCGTTGCTGCTCTGTTCCTTTAATACTGGTTATATGATTCGCTTTCATATTTGGATGCATTGTTAGGTATTTGAAGTGGGGGCCTTATCAGACGGGTGTAATCTAAATATTCTGAAACCAGATCAAGAATACAAACATTTCTCGGCACTGGACAGATTAGAACACTCATTTTTATTGACATTATATACAGATGTGTGTTTTGATAATTTCCTGTTGCACCTTTTTGCTTACCCACACATAAAATATATGGCTTGATGTTAATCAAATCATTGAAAGCGAATTACTGTCTCAAAAATGTACCAATATATGTGGATATAACAGGACTCATCCAGAAAGACATTTCCCGGATTAGTGAGTGACTGAGTATGGTTTTACGCCGCTTTTAGCAATATTCCTGCAATATCACGGCGGGGACACCAGAAATGGGCTTCACACATTGTGCCCATGTGGGGAATCGAACCCGGGTCGTTGGCGTGACGAGCGAACGCTTTAACCACTAAACTACCCCACCGCTCCTTTCCCGGATTACCTGGGTCGGGGTTTCGCTGCACATCAAAAGACGCTTTAATGAGTATTTAATGAGCTGGTAATAAGCTCGCTATTCTGTGAGAAAGGTTTTGCAAAGAATTGAAAATCACACATAATGTCAACCTAATGAGGCCATAGTGATCTGCCGGAAGTGCTACCGTGATCTTCCGGAAGTGATGTCTCCGTCCACGCCTTAGATTGGCATGGTGGACAAAAGCTACCTAATTAGGTAGCATGTGTGTCTCCCACAACAAATATCACATGTACATGGTAAAGTATTAACAAAGAAACATAAAGAACAGAGTCTGTATGAGATGCAGGCCTGTCGTCAATTTATTAATCCTTTTGAGATGGCGTGCTATATTGCTCACCGTGGTAACGGCCTTTAGATGCCCCCACTGGTAATACCTAGGTTGCTCTTTACATCAAAGTTTCATAATTTAATGTTGATATTTCTGTTTCAAATTACTGTCTGTGTACTTTATATATATAAAGTAAAGATTTATATTTGTTGTAAGAATTACTTCGATCCATGCGTAGAATATTGTGTGAAATGTCAAATAATATATTAGGTGTCTTTTATTTGCTAGGATATATTTAGTTGCAGTTATTGACGGTCGGCGAAGTTCACAGCTAACAAGCATGACCAGAACACTTTGATTTGAAAGTAATTGAAAACGGCAGAACTGAATAGAGTTTGTGTAGGGTATGTGAATCATGTTGTGCTTATTGTGTTTTGTATCCTTCCTGAAAACTGACATCTGTAATGTTTGATAAAAGAATCAGAGGTTAGAGGAATGCTTATTATGAATTCCATATGATATTTCGTGAGCTTAAGATATACTGAAAGGCAAAAGTTAGTGTGATCAACACATTTATTTATATGAATAAAATAAAATTATAACGCATTTTAATGTTCTTTATAATACACCTACTCCATAACCCAAAAGGGCCCTGTTGGTAGTTTTTGTTTTGCATGCGTGTTTCGTGCTTTCAAAAGTCCGTGTAAAAAAAGCATAAAACGTGCCCTTTAAAAAGTGTGGCTCCAAACCTCGAGTCATTGCCACCCTATCATTATTTAGACGTCGACGGGTCCGAAAAACACAAATTTGGAATCTGCTTGCATTTCTTGCCACGGCTAACTGAAAATGAAAGATGGGGAGCCATTGGAATGCTTTAAACCGGAACACTCCAGCGCAACGTTGCACAGCAGTTTAACGTGCACACTAACGCCATATGACGCTTGTGGAGACGTAATGAACAAAACGCCCTCCTTGCAGACCGTCACCGGAGCGGCCGTTCACCTGTAACAACACCATGCAACGATCGTTGGATTCGAACCACCCATCTGCTCCAAAGATTCCAACCTGCCACATGGACAGCCCGAACAGTTCTTGGTGTCAACAGGATATCGCCAAGGACCATTCGCAGGCGTCTGGCTGCACGCGGGGTGCGTGCTGGATGTCCTGCCAGCCGACACATTTTGACATCACGTCACCAACGACTACAGTGGTGCAGCCAACACCTGCGATGGAGAGCACGTGAGTCCAGATTCGTCATTCACCGCGCTGATGGCATAACCCGAGATTAACGGCGACGTAGTGAGCGTTATGGCAGGAACTGTGGCCTCCAGGCCGACCGTTTTTGTGTCTGTGGAGTGATGGTTTGGGGTGGGATAACGAGTGCTGGACGTACGCCCTTTCTTTTAGTCAATGGAAATTTAACGAGTTTCAGGTACAGAGACGAAATTGTTAATCCAGTCGTCATGTCGTTTCTCCAGCAAAATGGTCCAGGAATGATCTTCTAGCGGAACAATCCTAGACCTCATGTCGTCAGAGTTGTTCAGCAGCTCCCCGACGCAGCACAATGTTTACGTCCTTCCCGGGTCCGCTAAATCCCCAGATCTGTCCCCTGTTGAACACGCCTGGCACGAAATGGAGAGGAGATTGAGACGTTGGCCAAATACCCCAGTCACGCTTCAGGAACTCCGCCAGTTGCTTCCACAGATATGAAATGCCATTCCTCAAGACTTTTTGCGACGTTTGATTGGCTCTATGACGCGCCGGTGTCAAACATGCACCAATGCTCATGGAGGACATACACGTTATTGACTGTGTGAATTTCATTTTGAGCGTTCTCGCAATGTGACCTCATTAGCATGTGTCCGCCAGAAAAGTTTGAAATGTGTCATTTGCAATCCTATTGTGGAATGGATTTCCTGGAATATTAATTAATAAGTCTCATCATAAAAATACAAGTTGTTAATTCACACGTCTAACTTCAAGTCAATCACAATAACTTTTGCCTTCGAGTATATTATCAGGCGACCTCGAAAATGATCTACTTTCAAGTTATCATATCGTGGACTCAAACGTTTGCATCTTGGAGCATGAATGTATTCTGGAAGTCTCGAGATGTTGTCTCGTGGCCTCCAGATAATGTCTCCTGATCAATAGAGGGTCTCGTAGCCTCCAGATAATGTCTCCTGATCTCACGATACTTTCTTGTGATCACTAGAGACTGTCTTGTGGCCTCTAGATGTTGTGTCGTGGCCTCCCAGATCCAGATAATCTCCTGATCTCACGATACTTTCTTGCCTGATCACTAGAGAGATCTTTCTTGTGATCACTAGAGAGTCTCTCAGTGGCCTCCAGATAATGTCTTCTGATCACTAGAGAGAGTCTTGTGGCCTCCAGATAATATCTCCTGATCTCATGATACTTTCTTGTGATCACCAGAGAGTGTCTCGTGGCCTTTAGATGTTGTCTCGTGGCCTCCAGATAATATCTCCTGATCAATAGAGCGTCTCGTAGCCTCCAGATAATGTCTCCTGATCTCATGATACTTTCTTGTGATCACTAGAGAGTGTCTTGTGGCCTCTAGATGTTGTCTCGTGACATTCAGGCAATGTCTCGTGATCTCATGATACTTTCTTGTGATCACTAGAGAGTGTCTTGTGGCCTCTAGATGTTGTCTCGTGGCATTCAGATAATGTCTCCTGATCTCATGATACTTTTTCGTGATCACCAGAGAGCGTCTAGTGTTCTGTAGTTGTTGTCTCGTGGTCTTCAATAATGTGTTGTGATCTCGTGATACTTTCTCGTGATCTCTAGATCAAGTATATTGGCTATTGGGTAAAGCAAAGTTAATTCTATATTCTATAACTTGAATTCAGTCTTAACCACATGGATGCCTCTGCAAAATATTGAAATTAACATTTCCATGTTTCGAGCATAAAAAATCGTATTATACAAGTATGTACACTTAAGGTCTTAGTTGAATTACAGTTAGTTGTAGCGTTTTCGGCCATGACCGGAAGTCGCTTCTTCATCGTGTTCCTGTTCGCCTCAGTGCACTATTTACATGCCTAACATATATCTATACTTTGATCATATAGTTGCCCACTTGACAAGAGTCTTCACCAGTCAAGCACTTGAGACCATTACGATTACATTGATTTACTGAAGCTTTGATCACTTTTGTAGGTTGAATTATTACTCAATGATTTGTGGAATCATTCCACGTCCAACTCATTCTTTGACACGGATGTTGACGCGTCAAGGGGATGTCATGGAAAGATCAAGAGGCTTTTCCTTCGGATTAGACAACCATAATCTGCTTTTTCGTGGTCAATTCACTGTTTTTCCCTTCGGCCGGTATAATAATTGTCTGGTGATTGCTGAAACGAAAGTGATAAAAAGTAGAACTTATATACTAATGTATATTTTAATATGGAAATAATACTCTTAGTTACTGGGGATGAAAAAGCTGTCGGCCATAAGGGCCTGCAGAAAACAAAAGCTGTGGGTCCGAGTGGTTTTCAGTCGGCTTCGAGCCTTATGACCGACGTTTATTTCGAACGCTGCTGCTGAGACTAATCCCATTACAAGCCACGAGTCCAGATCTCAGTCCCAAGGAGTATTTATGATACACTTTAGGCTGTTGTGTTCGACAGAGTCCTACCTGTCCAGACTATGAATTGACTGAAGGTTTTCATGTGGAATAGAACAGGATTCCTCAAAATCAAATACGGAGAACGATCCAAAGAATGAGGAGGCGTCTTGAATCAGTTGTTCGTGTGCAGGGAGGTTACACAGGATACTGATGGAAAGTCAGTACTTGGAGTTTTAAGACATTAATCTTCATGTTTGCATGCTACTGACAGCTACGTCTCTGCAAGAATCGTGAAATTCGTCATTTTCCAAATCTTTCCAAACCAACAAACAAAACACATCAGCTACTGTCTTATTGGACTGAATTAAATGTTACAAAATGTTATTATTTTGTCATGTAAGATATATTACTGCATTGATAGTGTTCCTGTGCCGTTACTAAGGAACTCGTTACATGGTGGCCAAAGTACAAACACAAGGTAGGAGGTATCTATCTTTCATCTTGCCACATGGACAGCCCGAACAGTTCTTGGTGTCAACAGGATATCGCCAACGACCATTCGCAGGCGTCTGGCTGCACGCAGGGTGCGTGCTGGATGTCCTGCCAGCCGACACATTTTGACATCACGTCACCAACGACTACAGTGGTGCAGCCAACACCTGCGATGGAGAGCACGTGAGTCCAGATTCGTCATTCACCGCGCTGATGGCATAACCCGAGATTAACGGCGACGTAGTGAGCGTTATGGCAGGAACTGTGGCCTCCAGGCCGACCGTTTTGTGTCTGTGGAGTGATGGTTTGGGGTGGGATAACGAGTGCTGGACGTACGCCCTTTCTTTTAGTCAATGGAAATTTAGCGAGTTTCAGGTACAGAGACGAAATTGTTAATCCAGTCGTCATGTCGTTTCTCCAGCAGAATGGTCCAGGAATGATCTTCTAGCGGAACAATCCTAGACCTCATGTCGTCAGAGTTGTTCAGCAGCTCCCCGACGCAGCACAATGTTTACGTCCTTCCGGGTCCGCTCAATCCCCAGATCTGTCCCCTGTTGAACACGCCTGGCACGAAATGGAGAGGAGATTGAGACGTTGGCCAAATACCCCAGTCACGCTTCAGGAACTCCGCAAGTTGCTTCCACAGATATGAAATGCCATTCCTCAAGACTTTTTGCGACGTTTGATTGGCTCTATGACGCGCCGGTGTCAAACATGCACCAATGCTCATGGAGAACATGCACGGTATTGACTGTGTGAATTTCATTTTGAGCGTTCTCGCAATGTGACCTCATTAGCATGTGTCCGCCAGAAAAGTTTGAAATGTGTCATTTGCAATCCTATTGTGGAATGGATTTCCTGGAATATTAATTAATAAGTCTCATCATAAAAATACAAGTTGTTAATTCACACGTCTAACTTCAAGTCAATCACAATAACTTTTGCCTTCGAGTATATTATCAGGCGACCTCGAAAATGATCTACTTTCAAGTTATCATATCGTGGACTCAAACGTTTGCATCTTGGAGCATGAATGTATTCTGGAAGTCTCGAGATGTTGTCTCGTGGCCTCCAGATAATGTCTCCTGATCAATAGAGGGTCTCGTAGCCTCCAGATAATGTCTCCTGATCTCACGATACTTTTTTGTGATCACTAGAGACTGTCTTGTGGCCTCTAGATGTTGTGTCGTGGCCTCCAGATAATATCTCCTGATCAATAGAGTGTCTCGTAGCCTCCAGATAATGTCTCCTGATCTCACGATACTTTCTTGTGATCACTAGAGAGTCTCTGGTGGCCTCCAGATAATGTCTTCTGATCACTAGAGAGAGTCTTGTGGCCTCCAGATAATATCTCCTGATCTCATGATACTTTCTTGTGATCACCAGAGAGTGTCTCGTGGCCTTTAGATGTTGTCTCGTGGCCTCCAGATAATATCTCCTGATCTCATGATACTTTCTTGTGATCACTAGAGAGTGTCTTGTGGCCTCTAGATGTTGTCTCGTGACATTCAGGCAATGTCTCGTGATCTCATGATACTTTCTTGTGATCACTAGAGAGTGTCTTGTGGCCTCTAGATGTTGTGTCTTGGCCTCCAGATAATATCTCCTGATCAATGGAGTGTCTCGTAGCCTTCAGATAATGTCTCCTGATCTCATGATACTTTCTTGTGATCACTAGAGAGTGTCTTGTGGCCTCTAGATGTTGTCTCGTGGCCTCCAGATAATGTCTCCTGATCAATAGAGTGTCTCGTAGCCTCCAGATAATGTCTCCTGATCTCATGATACTTTCTTGTGATCACTAGAGAGTCTCTGGTGGCCTCCAGATAATGTCTTCTGATCACTAGAGAGTCTTGTGGCCTCAGATAATATCTCCTGATCTCATGATACTTTCTTGTGATCACTAGAAAGTGTCTTGTGGCCTCTAGATGTTGTCTCGTGGTCTCCAGATAATATCTCCTGATCAATAGAGAGTCTTGTAGCCTCCAGATAATGTCTCCTGATCTCATGATACTTTCTTGTGATCACCAGAGAGTGTGTCGTGGCCTCTAGATGTTGTCTCGTGGCCTCCAGATAATATCTCCTGATCAATAGAGTGTCTCGTAGCCTCCAAACAATGTCTCCTGATCTTATGATACTTTCTTGTGATCACTAGAGAGTGTCTTGTGGCCTCTAGATGTTGTCTCGTGGCCTTCAGATAATGTCTCCTGATCTCATGATACTTTTCGTGATCACCAGAGAGAGTCTAGTGTTCTGTAGTTGTTGTCTCGTGGTCTTCAATAATGTGTTGTGATCTCGTGATGCTTTCTCGTGATCTCTAGATCAAGTATATTGGCTATTGGGTAAAGCAAAGTTAATTCTATATTCTATAACTTGAATTCAGTCTTAACCACATGGATGCCTCTGCAAAATATTGAAATTAACATTTCCATGTTTCGAGCATAAAAAATCGTATTATACAAGTATGTACACTTAAGGTCTTAGTTGAATTACAGTTAGTTGTAGCGTTTTCGGCCATGACCGGAAGTCGCTTCTTCATCGTGTTCCTGTTCGCCTCAGTGCACTATTTACATGCCTAACATATATCTATACTTTGATCATAGAGTTGCCCACTTGACAAGAGTCTTCACCAGTCAAGCACCTGAGACCATTACGATTACATTGATTTACTGAAGCTTTGATCACTTTTGTAGGTTGAATTATTACTCAATGATTTGTGGAATCTTTCCACGTCCAACTCATTCTTTGACACGGATGTTGACGCGTCAAGGGGATGTCATGGAAAGATCAAGAGGCTTTTCCTTCGGATTAGACAACCATAATCTGCTTTTCGTGGTCAATTCACTGTTTTCCCTTCGGCCGGTATAATAATTGTCTGGTGATTGCTGAAACGAAAGTGATAAAAGTAGAACTTATATACTAATGTATATTTTAATATGGAAATAATACTCTTAGTTACTGGGGATGAAAAAGCTGTCGGCCATAAGGGCCTGCAGAAAACAAAAGCTGTGGGTCCGAGTGGTTTTCAGTCGGCTTCGAGCCTTATGACCGACGTTTATTTCGAACGCTGCTGCTGAGACTAATCCCATTACAAGCCACGAGTCCAGATCTCAGTCCCAAGGAGTATTTATGATACACTTTAGGCTGTTGTGTTCGACAGAGTCCTACCCGTCCAGACTATGAATTGACTGAAGGTTTTCATGTGGAATAGAACAGGATTCCTCAAAATCAAATACGGAGAACGATCCAAAGAATGAGGAGGCGTCTTGAATCAGTTGTTCGTGTGCAGGGAGGTTACACAGGATACTGATGGAAAGTCAGTACTTGGAGTTTTAAGACATTAATCTTCATGTTTGCATGCTACTGACAGCTACGTCTCTGCAAGAATCGTGAAATTCGTCATTTTCCAAATCTTTCCAAACCAACAAACAAACACATCAGCTACTGTCTTACAGACTGAATTAAATGTTACAAAATGTTATTATTTTGTCATGTAAGATATATTACTGCATTGATAGTGTTCCTGTGCCGTTACTAAGGAACTCGTTACATGGTGGCCAAAGTACAAACACAAGGTAGGAGGTATCTATCTTTCATCTTGATATCTTCGAGGACATTGGAAATTTTTAGACTGTAACAGATTTGACTTGTTTTTCGTCAGGAGATTGTAATATGTTATATGTAATTTAATATTAACCCGTATTCACCGCTGTACTATTGCTGATGCGACTTATTGTCCTCATCATGTACTTACTATGTCGACCGACGTAATGAGAAGAGATGACACATGTATACTGACCCGTGAATGTCTACGTGTGTGTATATGTTCATACTTAGTGAATCTCTCCGCCAGTACACTTTGCGAAAACATCGACTGATGATGATGGTCTGGAGATTTAACGTGCGTTTTTCGACATAATGCGTACACGGAACATCGCCTGCCGACACATGTATTTTATAAAGACCCAGCCCCACACCGCTTGCGTCATCCATTACACTTACAGCTGATGTAGCATTATCACCAGCAGCTCCCTCCCACCCCGAGCTTCTTCCTCCCTCCCACCCCGAGCCTCTTCCTCCCTCTCTACCCGAGCCTCCGCCTTCCTCCCACCCAGAGCTTCTTCCTCCCTCCCTCCCCGAGCCCCGCCGTCCCGAGCCTCCGCCTCCCTCAAAACCCGAGCCTCCTCCTCCCTCCATCCCCGAGCCCATGCCACCATCTTTCCTCGCGCCTCTTCCTCCCTCCATCCCCGAACCTCTTTCCTACCTCAGTCCCCGAGCCTCCTCCTCCCTCCCACCCCGAGCCCCGCCACCCTGTCTTCGCCTCCCTCCCACCCCGAGCTTCTTCCTCCCTCCCTCCTCGAACCTCTTCCTCCTCCCCGAGCCCCGCCTCCCCGCCTCCCTCCCACCCCGAGCTTCTTCCTCCCTCCCACCCCGAGCCTCTTCCTCCTCCTTCCCCGAGCCCCCTGCCTCCCTCCCACCCCGAGCTTCTTCCTCCCTCCCTCCTCGAGCCTCTTCCTCCCTCCCACCCCGAGCCCCCGCCACCCTGTCTCCGCCTCCCTCCCACCCCGAGCTCTCTTCCCCTCCCTCCTCGAGCTCTTCCTCCCTCCCAACCCGAGCTTTTTCCTCCTCAGTACCCGAGCCCCCGCCTCCCTCCCACCCCGAGCCTCCTCCCTCCCACCCCGAGCTTCTTCCTCCCTCCTCCTCGAGCCTCTTCCTCCCTCCCCTCCCCGAGCCCCGAGAGTCCGCCACCCCGAGCGTCCGCTACTCTCCCTCGCCGAGCCGGAAGCAGTTTGCAGGTCTGCCTGAATCGAAGTCCAGCCAGTGAAGATTGCTTCTTCTATTTTCTATAATTGTCTTTCTCTGAAATGGCGCGCGACACCGTGTCACCTTTTTGAGCTATTCGCGCATTGCTTATCGGAATTTAACAGACCCACGTCTGTCATCCAGTGGAATTAGACTGACAGATTTCGACCCGCCTTCATTCTCCATGTAGCAGGAAACCAACAACTGAAAGTATTGTCCAAATATAAACACATCAGCTGTATATTGTCGTTATTTTAAAGGAATGGTGTTCTTAATGCAAATGGGCCTAACAGATAGCGCTGCATTCTATCCTCTTTGGACGGCGCCAGACACATTTGTATGTAAAGGACAAATCGAGACTGGCGGTGTTTGGTCCGGATTAACGTTTTGATGTTAAATTAAAACGTAAATGGCATCGTTATTTCTTTAATTTACGGTGCTTGATCATAATAATTTCCCCAGAAACATCATTTTCATTTCTAATACGTTAATAGACCGCTGTGATTAGTCTGACTGGTTTTAACATGAGTAAGAGATCGCCATTTTCTCCAGACTTGTGTAATGCACTATTCTTGAAAGTCAAATGAATAAGACTTATTAGCTAATTGACTTAGTGGACACTCACGTGACTCTACGGACTGACCAATAGTGTGAATAGGTACTAATAGAGCGCATAACGTCCATTTTCGGCAACGCAGACATTTGAGACTGGGTGCAGTCTCTCAAAGAAATTGTTAAATTGAGCATTCAGCTTGATTACGAAATCGAGGCTCTTTGTCATGCGCTCTTCTGACGAACTGGTTGGAACCAAAGGCTGACCTTTATGAGACTTGTCAAATTTAATCACATCACAGACAGTGTAATTGCAGAACGAGACACGATATTCAGCAAAATAAATCGTATTAGTCCCCACTCCGTTTCACTGATGATTTAGTTAACTGGATTTAAATGTTGGTTTGTTTCGACCTATTACTCAGAATCTCCGAGAAGCTTTAGTACTCTACATAAATAAACTAAAAGTTGAATATCTGTCATCACATGGATACAAGAGAGGGAATGTTTGTTTTTCAATACTTAACAAGAGAACACACTTACCATTTCCGACAAATAAGTTTTCTACAGATTTTCATGATGGTTTGATAAGCATTCACTCTCTCTCTCTCACTCACTCACGCACTCACTCACCCAAATCCCTAAGTATTCCTGTTACAGATGCAGCTCTCCAAGAGTTGTGATCGAAGTAGGCACACATAGAAACAGAGATCTTTTATCTGTTAGTTTGTTCCAAATACGACTTTCAAGAATGAAAAAAATATAGAACTGCCAAACACATCCACTCTACAATTATTTATGTTGATTATATTTGCAAATAATATGAATATTCTAATTTTAATCAGTTATCACGTAATTCTAATTAGAATATAAACTGTCAATGCCATTTGCACCCACTCAAAAAAACAACAACAGATTTGTATACTATGGGCCTGTAGCCTTGCACTGTGGACTATACATTTCTGTACACAGTGTTTACTTGTAAACCGACCGGTGAAGATCCGGCTCGCTGACTCGGTTGTCACATCTCCCAATTTGCGTAGATCGATGCTCATGCTGTTGATCACTGGATTGTCTGGAGCAGACTCGATTATTTACAGACCGCCGCCATATAGTTGGAATATTACTGAGTACGGCGTTAAACAACAAACCAACCTTTCTTGAAACCGCGTGTCAAATAACGTCACCAATATCAGTGGTATTCCGTACCTGCAACTGAGGTATCGAAGTAGGTGAACTGCTTATGATACATGGCATCCAGTTCCAGAGTTTCACAGAGGCAGCGCCGGGGAGAAAATACAAGACACCCCCGTTCCCTCGACTAATGGTCATTAGTGGGTGATGATATACTCCGTTGATATTGGAAGAGTAACTGTTCTTCAGTTCAATGCTGGCTGTGAAGTACGGGCGCGCGTCTAACGGGATTTTCTTAATGGTAAATCTCCATAACATTTATATCTGCAAGTCTTATTGGGGAAGGTCGAGGACATTGTTCTCATTTAAACAAATATGTTTTTATGCAGTTCTCTTTATGTAACTTGACTCAGTGGAAATGGTGCTGTCCCGCAAGCACAGTATGAAATCTGTTTTACTATAAGCTATATACATATAGTAATTTGAAGGCTTAAGGAAAGTGTTTTTTTCTGTTTGTTATTACACACTGAGAGAACTGTTGAACATTTGATCATGTACATTTAACCATCACTCAGTACTGCATTGGTTAAGACTGGGGTAAGTAATGAACTGACCCCTCCAAGTTTGAAAGGTAAAGTCGAGCCGAGGTATACACAAAGAACTTAGTTAAGCACCCCCTAATATATCTCACGATTGAATGAGCCCCGATCGTAACGCTTTTGAGCATATCTGGGACATGATTGGTCGTCGTGTGCGACAAAGGGATCCTCCTGTACAGAACCTGGCCCAATTGTAAGCTGCTTTACACTAAGAATGGCGTAAACTGCCCCTTCAGAGGATCAGGAGGCTGACAGGGGGTATGATGAGGAGAGTGCTGGCTGTCACACAGACGAATCGTGTAAGACACGCAAAATGACATTTTGTTCAAATTCACCAATAAATTCAACATTAAACATTCCAGGGTCATACTTGTAGAGACATGGTTTTGTATGAAAATCATTGTTTTTTTAAAATAAGCACCTATCAACATAAAATCAACATGGATTTTAATCATTTTGTCGATTTTTATGTTTCAAGGATCATACGGGTCAGAAAAAATGTTTTTTCATCGTGGTCACCACGAGAAGTTTTATGAAAAGTGTTGAAAACGTATCATTGCAAAAATACAGGGATGCTTTATTAAGTTCTCTGTGCATATAGTGCAGGGGCTTGTGTAATTCCGTGGGAATTACATGTTAATTTTTGGAACCAATACTAATTGTAATCACTGTTGTGTATGGATTCAGGAAAAGCATGGTTCCATTTTTTTCTGTTTGCTATAAGTGTCATTGTGGGGTGATGGAATATGAGTTCCCAAAATTGCTTGCGACACAATTTCGAGAAAAACATGTTTTCATAAACCTATCACAACATAGTCATGTAGCATATCAAAAGACAGCTTATGATGTATGGCATAGAGATTACCACATAATAGGCTTCTAATTTCAATTTGGTGACATAAAATATGGCATGATCATATAAATTAATCAAATATTGTCTTTCCTTCATCGGACACCAACATTGTAAGTATTGGCCTATATCAATTAAACGATTTATTCAATTAATGTATTCTCCGATTTGACAATATATACTACCATGACACACGTATGTACGTAGTAATAATAGTACCCAGGTAAGGTTAATGTGACTATCATATAGTCGTGCACAAGTGACACTCGTGTCTGGGTAATTAAATGACAAATGACATAAAGCCAAATCTACAGTCAATAGAAACTGAATGTATTAATACAGAAGTGACAAATTATATGACAGTAAACAGATAACTACATATTACAAGTGGGGTATGCAAGTGCAATATATAATGTGCACTAGTATATTCATTTTAACTTTCACATTGTTAAGTAACTTGCATAGTCAATCAATCCGTCATTAACCTGCAAGAACAAAATATGCTGTTGAAATACAAGCTTCGACATTATTTGTCATACAAACACAAGCATGAATTCTTTTTTTTCTTAATTTGGAAACTAGTCGGGCCCTCGTTAGAGAACATTCCTCCGCCTGGCACAGAAATTTCCTCTCAGTATTACATATTTAAAGTACTACTGTGTACTTGTACTTTAATGTACTTTCACCAAACCGTACGCAGATAAACCTTGTGTCATACCTAACATAATCACCAAGATTCATTCAAATCCATCCATCACTTCTTGAGTTATTATTCATATTTTCCATGCTCTCTGTACATGTACTTTAACATACACTCTTCAAAAAAACAAAAAAAACAAGAATGAATGGAAACGCAAAACAAAATTTGACAAAATGGAAGTTGGTACGTAAATGTTAAATGAAGCATGCTTTGAGGGTTGAATATTGTTGTTGGTATGGTTTAGAAGAACATCCGTGAGCGAATGCAACCATAAACGATTTTGAATGGTTGTATCGATCATGATTGTCATGATGAGCTTGACAGGTATGGAACACAACCAAAAGCCGCAATTATTCCTTTTCGCGTGCAACCTATGATTATAAAAGGCCCAAATGCATCTCGCAAATTCATCCAAGACCCTTGCTAATATTGGATGAGAAAATGGAACGTCTCAACGGTGCCCAACGAAATATTGCCATTGGACGATTACAAGCTGGCGAATCCAAGAGTGACGTGGCCAGGACCTTCAGCATTCATCCCAGCACAATAACTCGTTTGTGAAATCGTTTTGTGCATTCCATTTCGACAAATGATCACCCAAGACCAGGAAAACCGTGAGTCACCACATAGCCAAAGATCGCTACATCCGGGTAACCCACCTACGTGACCGCCATCATTCCGCCAGTACGATTTGGAACCCGGAAAATGTCCGACCAGACAACCAGCAACCGTCTCCGAGAGGTAGGTATGCTTACCAGACGTCCACAAGTTGCCCCCTCTCTGACACGATTACATCAACGTCCGTGAGTCAGGTGGTGTAACGCGGTGCAGCCATGGAGCCTTGCAAACTGGAGGCACATATGGCTCAATGATGAATCGCGGTATCCCCGTGACGGAAGACAACGTGTCTACAGACCACGCAATGAACGTTTGCATCCGACTGCATCAGGCAAGTGGACAGATTTGGTGGAGATGGTGTGATGATGTGGGGAGCCATCTTACCATCCAAGGCAATCTTACGCCCGCGAGATATATACTGACCAGATTCTCTCTCCTCACGTGCATCGTCTTGTCGACCGCCAAAGGGAGCTGTACCACCAGGGCAACGCCAGACCTCACACAGCACGTGCTACAGTGGACTACCTGGACAATAACAACATCAATGTCCTCCCCTGGCCCTCCAGATC